CTGAGTGGTAAATGTAGGGAAAATAAGGTTTTGGGAACCACGGTCGGAAGGAGTGTTGAGGGTTTTAAGGGAAAAAATTTTAACCCCCCACCCCCCCCCCCCCCCCACAGACCGTGACCTACAACAAAAAAAGGCGTCACAGGCCGTGACCGACAGGCCAAAATCCCGTCACAGGCCGTGACCGACAGGCCAAAATCCCGTCACAAACCGTGACCGACAGGCTAAAAACCCAGTCACAGACCGTGACCGACCAGTAAAAAAGGCATCACTGTTTGGGATGCCAATGGTGTCGTGTTTCACATTTTAGTCACGTTAGGGATTGCGCTGAAAGCTTTTTTTACAGAGTTTACATCATTTCAAAAAAGAAAATAGCTTTAATAAAATATCTGACTGAATAAATAATAAAGACTGTTATAATAATATTTCGCTTTAGCATCCATGCTAAGCGAGAGATATCGTTCTAAACTAGATAATTCAAGTAGAACACAGGCAAGTGACAATCACTGTATTTTATAGTGACTATATTATAGACATTCGCTTAATTATATGTAAGACAAATAGAAATGTTTTGGTATTCATCTGTTATCATAAACCACTATCGTATTTTAACAGACGATTAAACATATAAAAAAGTGAATCTATATGAAGTGGTCAGTATTAATCTCTAATTCATTGTTGGTCTGTCAACAGCTCTGATGAGTATTTCCTCTTTTCTCTCTAAGTCTACGTCATCAAAGATAATCAAACAATTCAGAATTTTCATGAACAAATACAAACATTAAATGATATTTGAGAAATACGCATTTAAAATATGACTTTCTCGATGACGTTAAAGACAAATAAAAAAAAGTTTATTCTTCGTTGATTTATTTGTCCTTTAATAGAAATATCATAAAAAGTTTCGAAAATTGATTTACGAACTGTTATGTTAAAACATTTTTTTTATTTTTCTAGGAAATAAGTCAATTGTTTAAATATCTTTTATTCATTAAAGTCATAGAAAACAATCAAATAGACTTTATTTCAAAGTTTTTAACAATTTTATAGTAAAATATTAAAGAAATCAATATGATATTAGAAATCTTATGCATTTCCCTACTGAAAAACAAAGTCAATTTTGGAGCTGAAGAGAAATACAGGAAGCAATAGTTCCCCTTCAGATCTATATCGTAAACAATAATAGTTTCTCTTTAATTCTTGAATTTTTGATCTTTTCTGCAAGCTTTTTTGTTAGAAAGATCATATTCTTATACAGGGTACCATAGGCCATCCTCTCTCTTCCACTATGTGTAGATATTTCTAAAGTTCTACACCCAACTTTAGAGCATTTTTGATTCATTCAACTTCTGATCGTCTGTTTTTCTGTTAAAATACAGATCTTTAAAAAAAAATTTATGTGATAGTTTATATCTTGATATACATTTTCTGATATTGAATCTTAAACGCAAAAATAAATCAATTTTCCTCTTTTGCTTAACTTGTATGTCTAGTAGATGCCACAGTTTTGAGCTGAAAATTCCAGTAGAACCTATTGATATTAGCCCATTCTGATTTCCATAGACGCAAATATAATTTTATTTGAACTTTGTCTATTTTTATCACAATCATTTATTTATTTTTCTTTCCTGGAAAAACAAAACAGAAGAATTTTCTCAGAAAAAATCATAAAATTAAATATTCAATATTGACAAAATAATACCTTTAACAAACATAATAATTATATATAAATAGTTCTTTCATTTCAATAAATAAATCATTCATTCAAAAATGTTTTTATTCAACAAGTTAAATTTATTTCTATTTTTATTCTTGATCTTGATTATTGAAATATCCGGTAAATTTTCTTTAATTAATCAGAATTCTCAAGAAAAATTAAAACAAATTTTCTTTAAGGTATTTCTCACAATCGGCCAAAATTATCTTTTGATGCATTATGGAATGAAAATGGAACAACGATTCTTAATGAAACTCTAATTGGATCTGATCCTTTAGATTTCTTCATTGATCAAAATAATACAGTCTATATTCCAAATCGACATACAGGAGACATTCTTCTCTTTTCACAAGGAAATTTAACACAAACAATTCGTTTGAATTTAACAAATTCATCAACAATATTTGTACAAAATATTGATGAGATTTATTTGGATACATTTTATTTAATTCAAACGGGGGGGGGGGTGATTAGTAAAATAACGTCAAATTTAACAATTTATCCAATATCAAGAATGAATTTATGTCATCAATGTTTTGATATATTTATTCATAATAATGATCTACTTTATTGCTCATTTACCGAACGACATCAAATTATTGCCAAATCATTAATTCATCCTTCTTATCCATTAGTCATGGTTGCAGGAACAGGTCAACCTGGTTCAACATCAACAACACTTCGATATCCTCATGGAATATTTATTGATAATTCAACATCTGATTTATATGTTGCTGATTGTGAAAATAATCGAATACAAAAATTTGAATTTGGAAAACTGATTGGAATAACAATTGTTGGAAATCAATCTTTATCGAATTTTACTTTCGATTTAAATTGTCCAACTTCGATTATTTTAGATTTTGATGGGAATTTCTTTGTTGTTGATTCTGGAAATCATCGAATGATTCGACAAGGAAGAAATGGATTTGATTGTTTTGTTAATTGTGATAGAACATCAGGTTCAAGTTCAAGTCAATTAAATTCACCTTGGACATTAAATTTTGATAATGAAGGAAATCTTTATGTTATTGATCGAAGAAATAATCGGATGCAAAAGTTTAAATTAATTCATTCGGGATGTAAGTAAAATTTCTTCATATCATTTCGAATTTTCTTTTTGGAAAATAAAATAAAGAAATGATTTTTAGGAAAAATAATTTATTTAGTTTAATTCGAATGTATTCGAAGAAATGTTGTTAAAAAATGTTCTTTTTTATTTCTTTGTTTTATGTAGATTGGACAACAACAGGGAATACGAATGTTGTACGATGTTGGCATACAGCTTCGATATTATCCAATGGAAACGTATTAGTTACTGGTGGAGACGATGGTGGTAGTGCTCACTCCAGCACTGAATTATATGATCCATCAACAGGTATTTGGATACTGACAGGAAGTATGAATGTTCCACGACGATATCATGTAGCATCGCTATTATTTAATGGATCGGTATTAGTTACTGGTGGATCTAATGGTTTTTCGTATGTCAGCAGTACTGAATTATATGATCCATCGACAGGTATTTGGACACTGACAGGAAGTATGAATGCTGTACGACATGCTCATACAGCATCTCTATTACTCAACGGAACAATATTAGTTACAGGTGGTTGGAATAGTGGTCCTCTCAATAGTGCTGAACTATATGATCCATCAACAGGTATTTGGACACCGACAGGAAATATGAATGTTGCACGATCTGGTCATACAGCATCGACACTATCAAATGGAACAATATTAGTTATCAGTGGCAGCAGTGTTGAACTATATGATCCATCAGCAGGTATTTGGACACTGACAGGAAGTATGAATGCTGCACGATCTGGTCATACAGCATCAGTATTATCCAATGGAAAAGTATTAGTTACTGGTGGAGTCAATAGTGGTGATGTTCTCAATAGTTCTGAATTATATGATCCATCAACAGGTATTTGGACACTGACAGGAAGTATGAATGCTGCACGATCTGGTCATACAGCATCAGTATTATCCAATGGAAAAGTATTAGTTACCGGTGGAGACAATAGTGGTAATGTTCTCAATAGTTCTGAATTATATGATCCACCAACAGGTATTTGGACACTGACAGGAAATATGAATTTTCTTCGACGATCATACACAACATCGATATTATCCAATGGAAAAATATTAGTTACCGGTGGATATGATGGTAATTGTCACAAGAATGCTGGATTATATTGATGAATAAGAAGTGACAAAAGATTTGCAAAATAAAATATAAAACTATTTCTTTGAATTGAAAATATTAAAAAGTTTCTTGAATATTTTTTGACAAAAAAACAGTATTTTTATTTGGAATTTTAATATATATAATTTTATCTGATTTCTTCTTTTTTGAAAATAAATTTAACTTTTTTCCGATAAAAACACTAAAGATTTGAAAAAAAAGCTTTTATTAATTAATTTTTAAATGAATCAAAAGAAAGGTCTTTCAATTATTTTTATTTGGGATTTTTTTATTTTCTAAATTTTGAATAAAATAATATTGCTAAAAATAATGACAATTTTATTCTTTTTCTCATAGAAATTAAATAAAAAGTTTTTTTAAAACTCTTAGTTTTCTTATCGTTCAAATGGTCACAATCCTTAAAATCAAAGGAAAACTCTGAATTACTTTTGATGAATAAATTAAAGATTTTTGTTTGTTCTTGTGTCAATAAATGATTAAGAACTAAATTGAAATCAAAAAATTATTCTGATAAAAAGAAAAAAGATGATTTATAAAGAAATATTTCAAAGAATTAAAATATTGCAATTATAAAAAAAAACACGAATTTCAATGAAAAAATGTAACTTGATCATTATTTAACATCCAGCAACGAAAGAGATTTCGTACTTATTGTTATCGAAGAAAGATCTTTTGTTTTGCCATAGCAACAGAAGAAAAATAATAGAGATAAAAAAACTGCCGACACGGGTGTCCCGGTAGGGAAACGTGCAGGATACGGCGACGTCTCCCCGCTTTTTTTTACCTCGGCACACCTCTCATTAGTGAAGACTATTATATCATAAATAACGCTCGTCCAGAGTGGCTCGCATTGCCCTCGACTGAAAAGATGAATACATAATATAGAATCAAGTCGCTTTTTTTCATTATTTTACGAATGAGGAAACGCTTTTCAATATGAAGTTTATTTATTTGTTTTTCAATCAAAAAAGCCACGTTAAGGATATAATCAACAATCAACAACTATACGAAAGAAAAGAAATAAGCTGTATAGCTTTAACTAATCTTTAAACAAGTAAATGATGAGTATAAACGAGTACGTATAAGAAAAGTGAAAAATACATAAAAGAGGATTTACAATACAAAAATATTGAAAAGAAAATTAGCACTTATGCTATGAATAAAATTATAAATAACGCTCGTCGGAGGTGACTCGCATTACCCTCGACTGAAAATATCACAATATATTATCAATTTGATATTTGCTTTTCTTTGTTTCAGTTAAGAAAAATACTTTCTAATATAATGTAAACTGTATTTATTTATTTCTCTATGAAGTAAAGACACGCTAACGATATAATGATCAACTGCATAAAAGAAAAGAAAAAACAACTGTATATTGATTGAATAAGCTAAACAAAAAATACATCTGCAGAAAAATTCGAAAAGA